TTCATCGCTACAATATACTGATATGCCAAAGCCATCCACTTAACAAAGGCAAATTTAATGACAAGTTTTACATACAATAATTTGACTTAACTCAATCCACTAAAGAAACAAACAGAAGCAGTAAAATGATCATCACATTTCCCACAGTTCCCAGTATCATTCAGGTAAACTTTTTATTAAAAATAATTTAATCATAATAGCAATTTGCTCTTGAGGCTTATACAGTAACTGCCTCCGAGTATCTAATAAAAAAATGCACCAAATTTCTTAAACCCCCCCAGAGTAACAACAAGCTCTTGTTTTTAAGTACTTCTGCTTCATTTTAAGTCCCATAGGGATTGTAAAGAATTCCTTTTAAAGTGGAGAAGTTGCTCAGAAGACTTAATGTCACATGTGACCGTACTTCCTAGTTACAGGACACTTTTTTTAAATCTTAGGTTAAAAAGTTCCATTATGAAACTATACACAAAATTCATGGCTCTAATTCAGGACAACAGTTAACGAAAGCTAGCCAAGAGTAAAACACCCCAATGGATTTAAAGAAAACCTCAGGCTGCTGGATGCTGGAAGGGAATAAGAAAGGATGCTGAAAGCAAGAAGAATAGGAGGGCAACAGTGGTTCTTAACTTCAGGATATGCTTCATTTAAAAAGTGATACTATAACCAGTTCTTCATTGTTTCAATGTTTGAGTACTCTAGAAGACTGAGCTGCAATGTGAAAATTTAGTGATTTTGTTTGTTTGCCTGATTACCAAAGTACTGTTCAAGTCAGCTATTCCTGATTAGCAGCTTAGATACCTCAGCCAAGAAAGACTTTGCACGTCTAAAAGAACTGAATGCAGAAAATCTGCATCTTTCCTGGTTAGGTGAAATATAAAGTGGACTTCCTACGGACTTGTCTGGTTGATAAAATACTTCATACCCTTAACTTTGGTTTCTAAAAATAAAACCAAATCCATCTAGAACTGAAGTACCAAAACAAGCCTCATCTCCATGCTCTGAAAATCATGCCATCCTTTTCTTTTGCACTGTCTCATTTCTACCAGTCTTAGAAAGATTTCAGAAATAGTCTAAGTTAGCCCCTGTTTACTGCTAACAGCTTACCAATGCTACAGAAAATAAGCAAATCTAAATCTGAATAGCACTGTCACCCACATACCTTTTAATCTTGCAACCAGAGGAGATATGAATAGAATAAAAAAATTTTAAGGGTGTGCTGATATGAAGAGAATCACCAATATGACACATGGACCTGTGAGAAGTGAGGCAATTTTAGTCAGTCTCTTTGACCACATGCTGCAATAATTCAAATATGCTGTCACTTAAATCCACACATACAGTTCATTACCAATTCTCAGCTAAGTTGAGAATGTTTAAGGAAGTGCTGTAACAACTCTAGTCTTGAGCTCAGTTTCAGAGAAGTGTTTTAGTGACTATCTGCATCTTCGCCACTCTAATGCCAAAGCATTAGGTATGTCTAGTTTAATTACGATGAAGTTTCCTGAAAACAGTTGATTATGATGTTGAACACATAAGCACATCACATACCAGCTATTACTAAGATTTCAGCAGTTCTCTAGTACACTTGATGGTAGTTCCACAACTCTGGGATTTTCCTTGGGTTAGAAGGAAACTTTTACACAGAGGAATGGGATAAGGGAGAGCTTCTGTCTTCATTATCAATGAAAAGATACTGAGAAAACAATTGGTAGATACAGTACTGCTGAGCTTTCTCCTAGACAGAACAGAAATGAAAAGTTTAGGTATGTTCAAGATTTTCATGGCCAACTTCCTGTCCAAGGACTTTGCTAACAACAGGTACTAAACAGAAGCGAGATACTTACGGTTTAGGCATCAGGGTGTGCTGTCTTCTTTGATGCACTTCCCAGCTCTCCATGTTCATCCAAGGTCATCACATGGATGAGCACATAGTGACCTTTTCCATATATGTAATAAATAAGCTTCCCAGATAAAGAGAGATCTTAATTAACATAAATGAGACTTTTTTCAAAGGCTATAGAGAAATGCAAATTTCTATAGAAAATCAAATCAAAGAGTTTTAAGCCAAGTTAAACTTGCCTTTTCTTTTTCACTCCTTTGTTATTTTCTCCTCTTTTCTGCCACAGTTTAAGAAGAAGGATTATAATTTTCATTTCAACAATCAGAGATCACTGCAACTTCCTAAATTTTCATTAAAGTCTGATGAAGATACCTGCTTTTATAATCTAAACCGATAAATTTGGGGCAGCTAAACTCTTCAAACATGCCGAATTCTATGAACCAGAACTTACAATATGTCTGCCTATGTATGTGTATTATTGAGATTTGTACCTTCAGAATCTGAAATATTGGAAAGAAGAAAAGGTTTCTACCTTCAAGCTTAAATATCCAAGGCTAAATCAGGCTGAGAGCCAGCTGGCAACACTTCCCTCCCAGAGGGTTTTCCAGACTTTCCCCTGGTTTGTGCATTGAACGGCCAGCCACAGAATAAAACGGATATGGGAAGGTTGTTGAAGAGGTGATTTATGAAAAGATTCTACATTTGCAACTGCCATGTGAGAACGCTAAATTAAGAAAACTGCTCCTCTCAGAGCTGCAAACAGCACAATACTGTAAAAGGAGACAAACGCTTCCCTAACAACATGAACAAGGCTCTCAGCAGAAGTGAAGGTCTGCTACATGTCACAGAGAAGAGCAGCAGCATCTTGAGCCCTCCACTCCCACCAAAGGCAGTAAAGCATGTCACACACTGAGGACAGAGAACCACCAAATCCACTGTTTACTCAGGGCAGGAGTTAGTCAAAAGCACCTTAACAAAAGCAAATACCCTATTCATAACTGGCAGTTCCATTCTCAATAAAAACTTTAGGTTAGTAAATGAAAAATGGATGTTTATGCTTTAACAAAGGCCTTCTGAATTTAAAAAGTTTATAATACATGATATAAGAAAAAATATACTGCATGCACTTAAGACAAGGATGCGTACTGACACGAACATATTAAAAAATACAGTATCAATTGCCAATATTAAACATTACCTGTATGCCTTGTTTATATCTTAGTTGTTTTGAACAACCCTTCAGCTGGCTTTAAATTTCACCTTGATTTTTCAGTGAACCAAAATAAATGTAAAGGGATGTAAAAAATCCCTGAGCATCTAATACTAAGTGAATGGCAAAAGAACCCAAAACAAAACCAACCCAAAACAAAAAGAATCAATTAACAATTGCTGTTTCTAGCCATGATATAGCAGCAATCTGTTTCAATGCCCAGTGAACTAGCAACAGATCAACTTCCTGAAACCCAGCTGGGCCTTGATTTACAAAATAAAACTAGTGAAAAGGAGATTTTGCAGTTTGCTTCCTAAGAGCTACTACAGAGCAGCTTCAGCTGAACAGGAGCAATGCGCTCAGGGTTCTACACAAATGGTAAATGCCTAATGCACGAGGAGAAAGGACATTCTGATGGAGTAAAATAGATACATGCACCGTTTCTGAAATGACTGAAGAATTTAGAGCACTGACAAAACCCAAAAGGCTGCTTATATTAAATATTTAGTCAACAAAATGGTCATAAAAAATATTTCCATGAGCATAAAGAAAGCCCAAAGAGTTTCAGAAGTCTTGAGTACAGATTATTCTCATCTTAGCTATAAGCACCAAGGAGGAGAATTTTTGTAACAATATGTGTGGAGCACTTACCCCAAAAAACAATGCCTAGATATTCAACTAGTTTAGCACCTACCAGAAAATGAAGTTAGGAAACCAGCCTCATATTGATCATAATTAAATACAAGCCTGATAAAGATGTGCTATGGAAAAGAAAAAATAAGTGATACAAAAGTTCTTACGAATGAGATAGTGAGATTTTTTACAAAAAATATTTGTTAAATATTTCTCAACATCTATCATCTTTGAAAAAAGGCAGAAACTGAACAACGAAAAGTGGATTGCATTTAATTGTATCTGTATAAGTATCAGAGAAAAAAAAGTCACATTAGTTATATGTCGTAGTCCTTAACACTGAACTTCCACCTTTTCCATCTGCAGAATGCAAAGAATTTCAAAGACAGATGAAGTGCAGCAAATCAATCTAGATGGGTGAATACCTGAAGGCTATGACAGTGAAGTGTTTGTTTACCTCGCAGCATCAGATTAAGATTTTCCTACTCCAATTTACTACCCCATTCTACTTTTGCCATGAGTTCCAGCAGCAGCATACAGTTAGCAGAAGAAAGCACTGAAGAAGGTGGGTTTGACCTGATGTTTCCAAACCAGAATCCTGCTACATTCCTGAGACCCTGTAGGTCAATTCAGAAGTGCTCAGGAGACAGAGCAATACACTGAACTGAAGCAATTGAGATACGGCAGAGATGGTCCCCTGAAATTGCTCATAAATAAAAAGAGTAGGCCAAAACTGAACTGCACTGTTTTAAACTGCCACAAGTTTATCAAAGGACTTGAAACAGGCTGAATAGGGGCAAATTAAATTCCTTTGGCAAGTTAGCATTGATTTTTTGAATCTCCCTCAATTCTAAGAACTTGGACAAAAATGGAAACTCAGCCAAGTAAACATTTAGTCCTTGGCTGAGGTAAGAACACATGCTCAGTCCACCTAATTATAAAACAGAAATTGTACAGCCTTCCTGATGCAGGTTTAAGCTAATGCATTTTCCTGTGTGACTGCATGCACAGCCTTACCTTACTGTGGTCACTTTCTGTAGTTTATTTAAGAAGCAGAAGCTACTTACTTTTTCATGTCCCAACATAATTCCAAAAAAACAAGGCATCAGAAGGGAACTGGAACTTGTAGTCTTTAAATCGTGATTTTTACTTTTGGTTTCTTCAAAATGATCTCTTATGAAGAGGGCAAATCTCTAAATTTTCTTTTGCTTAACGAATTAAAGCAAGATTACGCTGATGACAAGTAAGTGGCTTCCTACCTTTTAACTACAGCTTGCATTCATATTAGAAAACATAAATAAAATTAGTCTTCAACTTCTAGAGTTTTTCTGTACAAGCAAAACAATAAAGAAAAGGATATTTTCCTGGAGTTGCAATACCCACTCTGTAGTCCACGTAACTTTGATAGGGATGAAAGTTGAAAATAAAAAGGAGACCAGCTCTCTCAAATGCTATGACCTTGTTGGCTTCATGCTTTTCACTCACATAGGCCTAGGAAAGAAAAATAAAAATAAAAATCCAATTTATAAAATATTTCATTTCTAACTGAATTAACAAGGGGAAAAAAACCAAACCACCACTACTTCTATACCTAATTTCAAGTAAAACAAGGATTCAAGCAGCATAAAGACATTAACATGCAAACTGAAATACTGAAATTGTTTACCTATGTAATATCATGTAATATTTTTGATTACTAAACTATAGCTTACTTTTTATGTAAATTTTATGTAAAGTTAAAGAGGAAGCAGCATATTCATTATAGAGCACATGAAAAATTCTTGCTCAGTATTTGTAAGGTGGTCTTTTTATCACACTTTCGCAAAAAATGGATTCCTTTCATCATATCAGATCTTCCAATATACTTGTTATAGGGGTCTGCATCACATCTACTGTTAGTAATTTAGGAAATGAAGCACTGGATATGGAGGTTTTGTTTGGTTTTTTTAAATCTGTGTGAGAGACGCCTTTGATAAGCCACATTAAACAGCTGCACATACTACCTTTGTTCTATTTGCAAAAGCCCTTAATAAATAACTAGACATCAATTTAAAAAGTTCTTTCAAGTGGATTATGATGACTATGAAACAATTAAACTGAGAGATTGTAATAACTGAGTTGCTTTTATAAAAAGTACAGTGCAGCATTTGGGTAAAAATGGCAAACACAAAAGTGACAACTTGAAGACCAGGCATCTTCAAACTTAAACTGTACTGAAAGTGTTTTCTCAGTAACAGAGTATTTATTTATATGAAGTAAATAGTCAGAAGAATTTATGCTTTCCCAAAGCAATCCCTGGATTGGATTACAGACAATTTTATATTCTGCTTTATCCAATTCACAGTTACTAAATAAAACCAGCAAAAATCACAGGAAAAGAGCTTGCTATGAAGCTAAAAGGAGACTTGTTTCAGATTTCTATTCACAGAATCATAGAATAGTTAGGGTTGGAAAGGACCTTAAGATCATCTAGTTCCAACCCCCCTGCCATGAGCAGGGACACCACACACTAAACTAGGTCGCCCAGGGCTCTGTCCAATCTGGCCTTGAACACCTCCAGGGTTGGAGCATTCACAACTTCCTTGGGCAACCCATTCCAGTGCCTCACCACCCTCACTGTGAAGAACTTCTTCCTTAGATCTAACCTAAACTTCCCCTGTTTAAGTTTAAAGCCATTACCCCTTGTCCTACCACTACAGTCCCTAACGAAAAGTCCCTCCCCAGCATCCTTGTAGGCCCCCTTCAGATATTGGAAGGCTGCTATTCGGTTTCCACGCAGTCTTCTCTTCTCCAGGCTGAACAGCCCCAACTTTCTCAGCCTGTCTTCACACGGGAGGTGCTCCAGTCCTCTTATCATCCTCGTGGCCTCCTCTGGACTCCTCAGCTACATGTCCTTTTTATGTTGAGGACACCAGAACTGTACATAATAGTCCAAGTGAGGCCTCACAAGAGCAGACTAGAGGGGAAGATACTTCAGTGACATGTTTTGACAACTTGAAATATATGGTTGGACATTACACAGTGCATAATAAAGTGCTGTTTAAAATTTCTGCATGCAAATTTGGTATTGTTATTCTGAACATGTAGCCAGCTGGTGACTAAGAACTTACCATTTAGTATCTATAGCTTACCTGGGGAGATGCAAGCCAGCCAAATCTTTCTTCCAATTTATTCATATCTCTATCAAACGCATTTAGGAATCTATAGCGAAGAAGATGATCCTCAGTAAGATTAAACTGCCTTCTAGCATAGTGGTAGCTCTCATTGTTCCCTATTCTGGGGAAGTCAAGCCATTCTGGATGTCCAAATTCATTACCTGTATTTAAAAATATTCAGGATCCATGAATTCACCTGCTAAAAAATACACTAAAACTGCAAAAGTAGAATACATGAAAATACATTTTCTTTCTGCAAGTTTTAAATTCCAAAGAATAATTCAGCATATATAAATTGGTCATGTTATTATTAAAACATCACTCAGAACTTTCATACTTGCTAACAGGTTTGTCTTGCCAATAAAACTACCCGTGGAGTCCAGGGGAAGTATGAAAGTGGTAAATGAATTATAACCTCTATGCTATCATGCCATGCCTAATCCATTCCCATCTATTAATAACAGCAAAAGAAATTCAGTCAACCAGTATACAAATCTGAGAGTCACTATGAAACCTAAAAACATCACTTTAACAGTAGATATCCAGTGGTTTTGAGCATTTAACCGAATCAGTGCTACTATTCACATAACCACAGAAATCTCCCATTTTATCAGTTAAGTTTCAAACAATCAAAAGTTGGCTGCACTTCAACCACTTTTTATCCTGGCTGTAAGTACTGTTGTCATTGTTTCCAGTGGCATAAAAATAACTAATCAAAAGGTTTACTCAACTTCCTAGAAACGTTCAAAAAAGACATCTTAGTTCAAGCAGCAGGCGAGATCATAGAGCAAAGCACAATGGTTAATGATGATGCATTCAGTATCTGATACCAAAAGCAAGTGACTTAAGGGGGTGTGACAATCTGGGGATCTAACAGTACGTGTCAATTCAGCAACCTTGCAAGGGGAGTTCCTTTCCCAAACATAACACTCAGTGTCACAAGCACCAGAGACATAGTTCAGGCTGGGATGAAGCATGTTTGAACACAGGGTTCCTCTGTGTGCCCAGAGTTTCACACTCCTTTGCTTGCCTGTAAATGCCATTGTATTGCAATGTGATTTTCTATAGCTGTAATGCTTCACAAGTTTGCCAGTCTCATACTAGCCCACTGAATAGACATTACTTTAAGACAAGGAATAGGTTTATTCAGACTTGGGTTGCACGCCACTAAAAAAAAGGCAGGGAAAACGTGGTAATTTAATTAAGAAAAAGCTTAGTTTCTCTTACAGAAGAAAAACTCAGCTGTCAAAGCTACAGATTCGCAGAAACCCCTCATTTGGGACTCTATTTTGAATTACTTTCATATATCCAAACTTTTCTTGTTTTCTATACTGTCGTTCTTACAGTTTGAGACAAATCCAAATGGGCTTAATGGTTACAACTTGAGCTATAACATGCTGCTTAGCAGACTGTCAGTCATTTTGGGCTATTCATTCTATACAGGATTAAAAAGCATTAAGTATCTTGAAAGTTAAACAAACATTTCAAAGCCTGCAACAGTTGATTCATCACAGATCTTTCATAGAGATTACACAGAACACATACGCACCGTAAAACAGACACAAGAAGTGCTGTACCTGGAAACACGTATGGGAGGTAATGTGATAAAATTTAAGAGGGGTTCTAATTTTTACAAAAAAGGATTCTGTCCATTTCTACAAGCAGTAACTCAAGTTTTGTCAGTAAACTGAGTCTGCAGGCAGACGAAGGCGCAGGGATGCTGAGAGAAGGCAAGCGTTGTTTCCTGGATGGATACCCTGCATGTGCAGCCACCTCCTGCTGACTTGCTGCCTGGAAGGCCTGGAGGATACGGTCAGCAGCGACAGCTATGAATTTAGATTTTTGAAGTGATTTTTGTGTATTTCCACGCTTCACAGGAACAAACAAATAAACAGAGAACAAAAGAGAAAGGCTGCATATGTATTAAAGAGAATCCTTCACAGCAGCATCCATTTTCAGAAGAATCCTTCACAGTGTATCCGTTTTATAAATGAACTGACAAGTTACAAATTAAATTTCCTGTTCAAAAGCTGAATCACTAAATTTCATATTCAGCTCAAAACCAGAAACAAATATAAAAGAATCAGAGTCACAGCAGGACTTTGAAAATGACCTTGGAATAATGCTGGACTGAGCTCCTAAACTTACGGGAGGGTAAACGAGAGAAGATACTGCTACAGACAGACACTGTATCTAACCAAATTCAATATTCTCTTAAGAGCTGGGAAAAGTATTACTCTCTTTTGTGATCTACGTACTATTGAAAAGACAGACTACATGAGATAGTTCAGTTAAACATAGCAAAAACCATCAGAAAGTCAGAGATATGTATCTCGAAAAGACAGCCAAATAAATTACACCTGTAAGTTCATGAAAACCAGAAAACAAGGGAAAATAAGCAATATAAGATAGCGAATAAAGTAGACTAAAATAGCTCATCATTTCAATACAGTATTTCACCATAAGGAGAGAATATCTCCTTTGTGTTTATACCATATACTAACTGCCCTGCCTCCACTTGCTTTGCCTGTTTTCACAACAGTTGTTTGAATGCTGCATTTTGTTGAGTTTTTGTCTTTTTTTTTTTGAGGAACAATAGAAGTGCAGCAAAATACAAAAGCGATGGAATTTATTGTTCTAGCCATTACTGCTGCTCGTTAAGAAAATAGAGGAATTTAACAGTAGTGCAGCATCTTGATAGAAGACTAAATTATTTGCTGATGTCTGAAAGGCATGTTGAGAGTCTAAACACTGACTGCTTGCATTTCAAACAACTTTATATGGGCGCCTTCTGGACAACATACTCATGAGCTTTTTGTATGTGTTGCCTGATTTTAAAAGGGTTCCTTCATTTCTCTTTTGAGAAAGGAAAACATGAGTTTGTAAACACTGACAGAACAAATCCAAGTAGGCATTTTTGCTTATGTTTTTAAGATGTGGCAGAGGGAAAAGGAACTAACATTTAGGATGCAAGCAGGCCCTCCAATAAACTCCAGAGAGTGCTTTTGCACTTGGGACACATTAAGGCTATGCATCTTTTAACAAAAATACACCTCACTACTTTAACATTTTTTCTTAATTGCTATTTTTTCCTAATTTAACTTCACAACAATTGAGGGGCAGGTCTAGGAAAAGGAAGGTACAAGGAACCAATCAACACTTATTTCAAGAGAGAACTAACGGTACCCATGAAGCATCTGCTGCCTCCTTCCCCATGTTCAACATCACATTTCTGACAAGAATCAGCAACATTCATTTCTTGATAATTGTGAAAGCCTCTAAACATAGCAGTACTATTGGGATTTCTTTTCCTGCAATTAATTTGCTGCTTGATGTAAAGGTCCAAACTACAGATTGACAAGAAGCCAGCTGCTACAAATGATGAAAATTAAGACAATGGAACTAATGTGGAGGAGAACAAAGCTGAAATTAATAGAAATTTTGATTGGAGAAACAAAACAGACAACTCATGGAAGTGCAATGCATACTAATTTTATCTAGGAATTAATTCAAGTTTGTTATTTCCTACATATGGCACATACTGGACCACTTTACTATGTACAAGATTTCAAGATCACAATTCCAACAAATAAATTAACTTCCTACTGCTATAATGAAGACTTACATCACACTTTTTTAGTATGGTAGAAATGCATTCACACCACAAAGTACTTATGCTGCTGATGACTGTTTTGAAGCTGTGCCCTACAGGTCATTAAAGTTTTCTTGATGTCTCTTCTTTAGACATCTCTACCACCAATTCTCTATCAAAGAATTAGACTAAGCAGAACTGAAACCACATTTAAAAGATGCAGCAGGCAGTGTCAAGAGATGCCTGTTCTTTTGTTTTGTTTGTATCTTAAATTAAGTATGACATTAAATACTGTAAAAGCAGTTAAAACAAGTAGTTTGTTTTATACATCAAAGGTAAGAAGTTTAATTAGGTGTATAAGGCTGAACAAGTTTTTAAATGATCTAAAATACTATGAAAAGACCCTGTTTAACACTGATGAGCTGGAGACTGGACACATTGGGACAAAATTTCAACAGTTCCACCTTAACATATTTCTATCAAAGTAAGTAACATTATACCAATTTACACCAGCCAGATAATAAACTCATTTGGGAGTTGTAACTGATTTGAATTCAACTTCACTACTTTTGTGAGCAACGACAATGCAACAATCTGCAGATTATAAACAGAATCCATGTAAATCAGATCTAGGTAGTATATGATATTTCTCATTTCAAAAAAATAAATATTTCAAAGAATTAACCCTCATTTTCCATAGTTGAAAAGCCTTGGATATTGATCAATTTGATACTTTGTATTTACTCATGTTTGTACCAAATATTCTTCTTAACATTCACACTACTAAAAACAAATAAGAAACTACATTGCCTTCAAATTACAAGAGGATGATCTTCATTACAAGCATTTGTTTAATCTCATCATCAATACAACAATACAGTAAAGTGAAATTCCAAATGGACTCCTCCTGAAACACCGGGGTTACACGACTTGGAGAACTTCGTATTTTTCTCTCTCTCTAGCACTGGTATTCAATAACATATTGGTCGAGAAAAGACAAAAAAAACCCCAAACCCAAATTCAGGCAAACAATTCGATGGTAATTCCTAAAAAAACCCCCACAGTCTAGAGGAAATCTCATGCATGAGGTAATGCTAAAAAGAGAGGTCTTGGTAAAGCCAGTTCTGTGAGAAAAGTATTTTCTCCCATTTTTTTAAAATACTAGATACCATCTCTTTCCAATCTGTGATAAGACAAAAATCAGGATAAATACCGTATTTGCTTTGAAACTCTTATCTTCCATATCTTCTATGGGAGAAGACAGAGAATGCTTTACCTCGCCTGTATTGAAGCATCAAAGAACGCCTCTCCTCTAGTGTGATAACAACCATGAAAAATCACAGGCGTGCCTCCAATCTATCCAAGACACAGGAAAGTACTAAGTCCTTAAAATGGTTACCCTATATCACACACTAGGGACACAGTACTCTATCCACAGTAGCTGACTAGAAGATCCAGGCCAGCTACAGAATGGAATTTTGAGGAATTCCATGGCATGTCTGACTTAATGCTCCAAGAAGAAATCTTACAGGTTATCTGGAAATGTAGTTTCTTGTTCTTCCACCAGAA